GGCAGGCGGGTCTCTGTGAGTTCCAGGCCAGCCTGGTCTACAGAGCGAGTGCCAGGAGAGGCTCCAAAGCTACACAGAGAATCCCTGTCTCGACAACTAAATAAATGAAAGTCAGTCCCCGGCTGGAGAGATGGCTCAGAGGTTGAGCACTGACTGCTCTTCCAGAGGACCTGAGTTCAATTCCCAGCAACCACATGGTGGCTCACACCATCCGTTATGAGATCTGCTGCCCTCTTCTGGTGTGCAGTGAGACATACATGGAAGCAGAATGTTGTCTACATAATAAATCTTTAAAAAAAAAGTCAGTCCAGCGATAAAAGAACAATCTCCGTTTATTAAACATGAGTTTTGTTTCACCACACACTCCAGAAAAAAAGGAAAGGGGCCGGGAGTGGGCGAGGGGCGACGGGGCTGGGAGGAGGGCGGTGAGAACGAGTAAACAAAGGAAACAAAACGAGTAAGAAGAGCGGCTCCCTACTCTTAAGGTGGCTGGAGGCGGGAGAGAGGGGCGGGCCGGGAGCCGGGAAGCTCTGTACAGAGGGGTCGCCTCCCAGCCCCCACCCCGGTTATGTACAGTACAAACCCCAGATAATTACAACAGCCAAAGAGGAGGGCGGAGGGACCGGGTAGGGCCTCAAGTGGGGTAAGCAGAGGGGAGGGAGGGCACGGGATAAAATTTCACATATTTACAACATTTATAGAAGTATAAATTTGGCCCCGGCTGGGTGGGTGTAGAGGGTTAGGCTGAAGGAGAGCTGTCCATACAAAAGGTCGTCGAGTCTGGAGTCTGGGAGGGATTCTCAATACCAAACGCAAGAAGGGGTGAGGAGACAAGGCTGGGCGGGGACAGCAGTCAGAGAAGAGGGGCGCCCAGGAGGGATTCTCCCCTTCCATGGCCTACCCACCCCAAACCCCATCCATCCTACCTCCCCCGTCCCGCCAGAGAGCTATGTACAGAGAAACACCGAAAAGTCGTGGGGCTGGCGGGAGGGAGGGAGACTGGGTGAGGGAAGCCCTGCCCTGCCCTGCCTCCCCCAGGGGACAGTCAGGGAAGGGGGCCTCCACACACCCATCCTCCAACGCGGTCCCCCACCCTGGGGGAGAGAGACATGGCTTTTCCTAGAGTAAGTTCCCCTTACCCATGGGAGTAGAGACAAAAGAGGGCAGGGGCGGGGGCGGGGGCGGGGGCAGGGGCAGG